GGGTGTGGGTGTGGGTGCGGGTGGGTGTGGGTGGCTGGGTGTGGGGGTGGGGGTGGGTGGGGGTGGGGGTGGGTGGGTGTGGGGGTGGGGGTGGGTGGGTGTGGGTGTGGGTGCTGGCGTGGATGAAGGACTTATCTATGCTCACACCCATACCTACACCCACACCCACGCCCACACCCACACCCACCCACACCCACACCCACACCCCACACCCACCCACACCCACACCCTGCTTTGAAATTGACTCTTCCTTCAGCAAACTAAGTAGGAGACCCGTTTCCGAATCTGACCAAACAGTTCGTTTATTTCGAATAGTAGTCGTGTTATTGTTGCTAGTCATTTCGATGTTGTTCTTATTCGAAGGCAATTTCATATTCAAAAAAATGAAAAAGTTTATTTAAATCTTTCAATATCGATTATTCAAAGTGCTAGGCGACAACAATTGTCTATAACGGCTAAAAATCGAATAAATGAGATTAGAATGTTCTTTTCACAGAACCATCGCTTTAAGAAAGAGCGAGAGTTGTTGTTTGAAACAAAAAACTTAAATCCAACTAGATCATGAACCTCCTTTTTTGATTACATATACTATGTGCGACGCATTTAGACGGCAATCGTGCATACATTTGCATGGATAGTGCTATACATGCAGAGTTGTGCATGTTTAATACATGCATAACTTTAATCAAGCAGAAGCCGTTATTCATGATTAAACGTGGATTTAGACGACGAATTATGCATGCATAGCAATGCATGATCGCCTTAATCATGCATCAGAGCGCTGTATAAACATAGCATTAGATGCAATGCCTCTTAGATATAAGTACAAGACTGTCTCATCATTCATATCCATATCCTCATATGTTGTTCACTGAGACAAACAATACTTTCTTAAGCTTGCAACATAAATACGCATCGAATCAAATTGAAAAGATTGCAAACAAAATTTTATCAGCAGTATATTAGCGAGCTCTATTCAGGTATTGGCTTGATTAGAAGAAAAAACAATTGTTTTCATCATAATATGAACAAAAAATAAAAATAAATGGTAAAACTCAATTGATAGGTTCTTTCCTAATAATTAAACATCATCATCATCATCTTCTGCTTTTTCATTTTCATTTTTGCTTTCATATTTTTCAACATCATAAAATATATCATCTGAAATCAATTCATCATCTGATAATCCAGTTAAATCACGATTATCAGAAGATTCTATTATATTTTGAATATTTGAATAGATTGGCTGCTGTTCTTTTCTTGATAGTTCGATAATTTCTAATTCACTTTTTAATTGCTCTAAACGCGTGAATATTGATGAATAGTGAAATGATCCACGTGGTCTACCAAATGGATCCTATATTCAATTACGAAAATCAAATAAATATTTCTTTTTTTCTTTGCTTTTGTACAAACCCTCATTAATTGATCGTCGTTATCCATGTTTTCTGTACATACAAGAATATAATAATCATAAAATTTAAAAAATTGTTTTATCATAACTTCGCTAAAATAAAAATGATAATCTTCTTTTTAAATAAATTCTTATTGATTTAAATTTACCGAAACTGTTCTGGATATGAATCGAGATTTTCCAGCGTTTCACATACAGCAACACGTAATGTTTCGTGTGATATTATTTCATTATATCTCTTTGAATCACCTAATTGATGTTCCTATTTAATAAATTATTTACAAAGAAAAACTAAAATTTATTTTCGTTGTTTTCTATACTTGTTCAAAACCAGGTTCATCATGATATGGATTTTGTGATAGTACCGATTGAATGGATACAAGTAGAGATGATAAAGATTGAGCTGGACACCATGATGGTTCATTCCAAGTACTAAAATGTATAAATTAATGCAAACTAATAACTAGATTAGAAATACGAAGATGTACTTAATAATCGATAAAAATATTTTGCCATTTCGATCAAGACTTGGATGAAAATCAACTGTATTATTTCCGGTTGTCATTAAAAGACAACGGGGAGGTCGAATCGAGCTAGAATACAAATAAAGATCTATGATGTTCAGTTAATAATTAAGAAACGACGATTTTAAAACTATCGTAAAAAAACTGCGAGCAAAAGTGTATTGATTCTACGATGAATATAGCATTGAAAATTTATTTGCTCGTCTACTCGCATGTTTCCTGCAATATTTTAGACATTGATTCGTTTATCTATGGCGTTACCTCTTTGGGGGATAGACGTGAGTAAGAATATTATGAATGATAAATTCCTTCTTTGACTTTTTGTAAAATGAGCATTTAATGAATGTGTTACTACTGATCAGACGTTGCCTATATGAAAATCACTATTCGATGATTTGGTCATGATACTCCTAGTATTTAGACTTTTTTGTGATTAAAATATTTTCTAAAAACCAGAAGCTATTTTTTTTAATATATTCTCTTTTTTGCTCGGTGTTTTTTTTCATCTTGAATTTTAGTAATATTTTGAATCATTGAGATAATACAAAAATTGTCTCATTACACTTTATTTGAACTAAATTTCAAATGTTATTTGTTAATCTATTCTCAATTGCATGGATTCATTTTGATGGTAATCGAAATAATATGCAGCATAATTTTTCAAAAGTAGAATCAAAAACTAAAATGAATACTCTTGACAAATGTCGAGTTTTACAATTTTCTTATAAATAATTGAAATCAATTGAAACTAACTCAACCATCAGAAAAAAATAGAGACATATTTCAAAAAGTGCTAAGAATGGGATAGCTGATAATCTATTGTTCATAGATACTCAATATGTTTCCGTTGATATTTTATTTGTCGATTTTATGAATGAATGTAGAACGACTGAATGTAATTATCTTGCTGGTTTTTTTAATATGAAATTCAGTGAAAAATCTGTTCATCATCAACTGAGCAGAAGGAAATATCGATTGACTTTATAAACGTAAATTTCAGTTTTCTGCGAAACAAAATAACATCTTGGTTCTCTTGTTCTTTTTTAATCATGATCTCCCGACAAATCCCGATCTTTGTACAAGCAACTTCTAGTTGTCTGAAATTTGAATTTGTCAGCCTGGCTTCTAGAAATGACATATCTATTTCTACAATATTCTATCATATTATAACCAACTTTTTTTTTTGTGGTCAATTATGAACTTGTTCAGTACTTACTAATCAGGTGGACAACGTAATATAAAATAAAAGAATCCACCTTGATATGGTGTATTCAATGGACCAACAATAAGAGCGTGAATCTAGAACGACAAAGAAAGCTTTTTAGTACAAGTCATGTGAAACTCATATAATCTTCTTTAGATTCATTGTTCTAATATAAAATTAACTATGCAAATGCTCTCTAAGACAATAGTTCTGTTTTAACGATGATTGATTGTAAGCAAAGGCTGTCGCTTTTATATTTACATTTCTAGATGAATTTTTTTACTTTTGATATTGCTGTTCACTTATTGTTTTTTCTTAAATTATTGCCTATATTACTACAAGCATTGAATTAAATAGTAAGTAATACCGGTTGTTTAGATCGATATTGGAGAGGAACACAAAAACTTCAATTTATACACCCTATTTTATTCAAAAACATATCTCAGTTCCATAAAGCAAGTTATACACTTGTAAATTAATATTTATATTTTATACCTTTGTAATATCATCAGGTTCAGGGACAATAAATATTCCCGGTGGTGGATCTTTGAGCAAATTAAAAATATCACTAATCAAAGAAAATTATATGCTAAATATTTAATCTAAAAATAAATGTTTACCGTTTAATTCGTGCTAAAGCAGCAGCTTTTGGTATTTCTTTATCCCAATCTAAACAATCTAAAAGATTCCATCGATGTTGTGTCACCGTTAAAGTGTCCTTGTTAGAAATATCATTTACAGATTGCTCAGATGATTGATTATTTGTCACCATTGTATTATCATTAGTACTCATTTTAATTTGTCAAGTGAAAAATTTGAAATTAAAAAATAATATTCAATATATTGAAACGTGTGTCACTATTTCTTTTAAAATTTAAGACCATCAATATACTTGGTTTTTGTAATATTGCAGTTCACAAATAAAATCTAGAAATAAAATACATAATTTGGGTTTTTTTGTTCTGTTTCTTCCTTTTTTTTCTTTACATGAGTCACATTTTTCGCCACCTACGCGTGATGAAAAGCAACAATCGTCAGTTCTGTTTTTTTTATACCAGAAAAAAGCAAAAAAACAAACCTACTATACTTAGTTATTTAGCCTATTCTATGGGGTTTAACCCAGAAAAAATGCCTTGAAATTGGCTAAATATGCCATTATCTTCTACAACTCGACGAGTTATGGTTATGGTAAAAAAAAAATCAGTGTCGAAGAGTGTCTCTTTAGAAAGATATATGAGTCACAAGGTTTGGTGAAAAATTCAACAAAAAATGACAAAATTGGAAAAATAGTAAATTTTGAGATTGTCCCTTTTTTCAACATTAGATGGACAAAATTTCATTCTAATTATATATTCTTGTTCCCCAAAGTGTGGCGTATTTTTCCATATATGGATTACTACTTTTCGTTTCTCTAATAAAAGTTATTTTTGAGTGATATTGGAATCATTCACAAAAATGATAGTGCTCATACTTAGACATTATAGGAACTAAAAACGACTATATTGCCCAGTATAGTGATACAATGGAATTTGTAGAGGAGACTTTATTCTATCAATTCCTATTTTCAGAATTTCAGCCTAACTTGAAATGACCGACATATAAGCGTTAACTCGAGTGTGGGCGGGTGTGAGTATGATTCATTAGGGAAGAAGAGGAATATATCCACACGCATACACCCACACCCACTCATGAAATAGGGAAAAACAATACTGAGATATTTCAGTATTAAAGACAAGAATTCCTTTAAATTAAGATATACCATATAAATCAAAAGATTTTTACAATGAAACAGTGAATTCCTTCCATGGTTAATGTTCTGACCGATAAAAATTTTCAGAGACAAAATAAGTTGGAAAAAACCAACAAATTTATGACTCAACGTTTGATGAGAAGGACAAAAAAAGCATGTTTTTTTTCTTTCTGATATATGCAACAAATTTTATCACTGGGAATATTATAACTAATCACTAGATGAAATCAACCCGACGAGAAATGAATGAAACATCTGAGATAGGCCAAACAAATGAAGAAGTAACATACTCGTTCCGTTTTGGTCCTTCTAATAAACTTATTCGTCTTACCCAGCAACAACTTGATGCTACTCCTTATTTATCTGCTCTCGTAGCTCATAAAGATGATTTTTTATCAAGTCAAAATGAAAGTGGTGAATATGTCTTGAGTTCTAGAATACGTTACACTTGGTTTATAGCTATTCTTCGTTCCATTACAACAGAACATCCATCTGTTTTGTTTACTGAACTATCACAAGATGTAAACGTATTGGGCATGCTTCGGTTACATGATTATCTATGTGTAAATCCATTATCAGTTCCTCTTTTGAAAGATGTACATTTAGCTCGATCAAATTCGATCAATACTGAGAATGCCAACGAATGTGCTGAATATCGTCGAGCAAGTCCTTTGGAAGCACGCGATACGGCTGTTCAGTTCATCGTAGCTCTTGCCAGAAATGAATACAATTTGGATGATTTTGAAACAATCCAATGCAGCTTCTCTCTAGTCATGGTTATTCTGTCCTAGCCTGATGCATTCGATCAAAGATTGTGTCATCATACATTGATAGTTTTGAAAAAGTATTGTTTCCCATTTTTTTCTCAGAAACAGCAACATCAACTTCATACTATTCATCAATCCATTCAAGGCAATAAAATCATCTCTTTAACCTATTTCTACGATGATAATCAATCATTACCTGCAAACTTCCAACATACCTTTGCTTGGAAAGAATTTTGTGTCGATCCAAGAAAATGATCGCGCTGATCATCGTTCGAATTGTAACAAAAAGACAATTGATCATTCAAGAACTTATCCGTTAGACTTCTCATGAATACACACATATCACTCCATGTCCTGCCATCATATGAACGGGTTTTTCTCGGACCACCCAAACGAATTCCTGTGGCCAGACTTCGATTGGTCACCAACTATAAGTTACGCATTAAGCTTGTTCATGATTTTTTCTTTTTGAATTCAAAATTATATTTATTTCATTCTAGTCGTATCGATTGAAGCTGAAAAACGAATATTACAATCGCATATTGTTGGCTCTTCGTTCGTCAATACGTGCTAATTTGTATCATTCACTACCGATTTTGTGAAGGTACGCATCATTTAGAATTGATGATTCCGACCAGAAAGAATTGTCAATATATCAAATCAAACAAGAAGCAAAGAAAATCGAATCTTGGTCAGGACATTTCAACACGTTACCCAAACGACCTAATATGGACAAATTCAGGCATCGATTTGGTCCGAAAGCTCAGAGATATCGATAAAAACTTTTTCATATCAACGATTCATTCTCTATTTGATAACGATGATAATCCTGAAATAATTTTTTATTGCATTTGTGTATTGCTGTATATTGACGATAAATTGGCAATGTTCTGCAATATCCTGGTGTCGCAGAAAAGGAGTATTATTCGAGGATGTGGGTATAGGTGTGGGTATGTGCGTAGGTGTAGGCGTGGGTGTAGGTATGGATGTGGGTGTGGGGTGGATGTGGTTGTGGATGTAGGCGTAGATGTGGATGTGTGTGGGTGTAAGTGTTGATCTTCTCTTCACGCCCATCCACACCCTTCCTATAGTAGAAGTTAAGGACGCAAGGGTGCTCCCTATTATTGGACGTGCGGACTTAAGGGTACCTCCTATTATTGGACTTGCGGACCTAAGAGTACTCCCTATAGTACATCTTGCAGATCCAAGGGTACCTCCCTATAATAGGACTTGAGGATCCAAGGGTATTTCCGTATAATTGGACTTCAGGACCGAAGGGTGTCCCGCTGTAATAGGGCTTGAGAATCCAAAAATACCATTTACCGGTAACTGTTCGGTAACGGTAACTTGCTACCCCTAGACTTTAACTTTAAAAAGTTTAAAGTAGGGCCATTTTAACTATTAAAGTTTATAGTGTCACTTTAAATTTTAACTTTTAAACTTTAAAGTACTACTTTAAACTTTAACTTTAAAGTACTACTTTAAACTTTAACTTTAAAGTACTACTTTAAACTTTAACTTTAAAGTACTACTTTAAACTTTAACTTTAAAGTAAAGTTAAAGTGCCACCGCTACGTACACCCACACTCTACACGCACACTCACCCATACCCACACCCACACCCACACTCACCCACACCCACACTCACACTCACCCACACCC